CAATCAATCAATCAATCAATCAATCAATCAATCTATCTATCTATCTATATATTGCAGTGTACCTCGGGATATCCGTTACTTTAAACTACCATACTATGGACACACAAGCTATGTCTTACAAAAAGAACTACAGAAACTACTAAGCTACCATTTCCGACAAAAGGCCCTTTCCTCAAACATGTGCTTAAACATAGCGTCTAAAGATGAGATATTGGGAGCACAAAGGGGTCCCTTATCAGACATTACATTATCGTACTCTATCCTCTCCTATGCACTCACTTATCCGGGATCTTTCTCTCAAAACAAATCATGAAATCAAACTAGATGACTTTACAATAATGAGAAAAACACGATATCATTGATTTAAGAATCTTAGAATCATTACTGAATAAAGAAATAAAGCACATAAACAATGAAAGTTCAGTTATTCTTTATACACAATTAATTTGCATAGGTTATCCACTCCCCCCCACTTCCTCACTCACAACGGACATCCAGACAATCAAACTTCCGTAAACTGTTGTCATGTCATGACACAGACACAGACTCCACACTGGACCTGTTGTCATAGTTGTAGTTACTATTATTTCATTTTTGTTCTTATTTTGCGTTTGTAATTTTGTATTTGATTGTATTGTAGATAGCTTTTATATTGTATTTTTCTTATATGCAGTTCTAATAATGGACACGGTGATGTCCGAAAGCTTAATAAATTAATTAAATATGCGCAAGATGTGGTTTCCTGGCATCCAGGTCTTCTGGTTTATTTCATATGTGTATATATATGTATGTAAATATATGTATGTATATACATATATATATATATATATATACATATATATATATATATACATATATATATAAATGTATATATCGTATAACTTCGTATAATGTATGCTATACGAAGTTATTTCGTATATATATATATATATATGTATATACATACATATATTTACATACATATATATACACATATGAAATAGACCAGAAGACCTGGATGCCAGGAAACCACATCTTGCGCATATTTAATTAATTTATTAAGCTTTCGGACATCACCGTGTCCATTCTTTCGTATAACTTCGTATAATGTATGCTATACGAAGTTATTACGCACACACGCACACACACACACGCACACACACACACACACACACACGCACACACACACACGCACACACACACACACGCACTCGTATAACTTCGTATAATGTATGCTATACGAAGTTATTTCGTATATATATATATATATATGTATATACATACATATATTTACATACATATATATACACATATGAAATAAACCAGAAGACCTGGATGCCAGGAAACCACATCTTGCGCATATTTAATTAATTTATTAAGCTTTCGGACATCACCGTGTCCATTATTAGAACTGCATATAAGAAAAATACAATATAAAAGCTATCTACAATACAATCAAATACAAAATTACAAACGCAAAATAAGAACAAAAATGAAATAATAGTAACTACAACTATGACAACAGGTCCAGTGTGGACGTAATAACTTCGTATAGCATACATTATACGAAGTTATACGAATATATATATATATATATATATACATATATATATATATATATCGTAATAACTTCGTATAGCATACATTATACGAAGTTATACGAATATATATATATATATATATATACATACATACATATAAAAGGAAAGAGAGAGATGGATAGACAGATAGATAGATAGACACAGACAGATAGATGGTGATAGATATATAGATATAGATATAAATAAATAGATAGATATGAATAACTGACTATCGTGGATACAAGGTTTCATATTATATTTTCGATATGAATTCTGAAAGCAACTTACCGGCTAGGAACCGTCGCTTTAGGTACCGTGCCAGTACCCAGGGTGCCGCACGATTCAGTTTAGTTTTTGTGTCCCGTGGATTTCATGCATGATATCTTACCAAAGAATTTTATTATATCATCTGGTTGTAGGTTTGTTTCGTTTAGATATCTGTGCTCATCATCCCTCTTCCCATGGTCGGTTTTATAAGTTTTGTTTCATTCATTTTTCTGGCGCGTTTTATGGTTGTTATTTGGACACGTAACTGCGTTTATTTTGTTTTGAGCGGGAGTAATTTGTCGAAAATGCAAGGAAGCGTGGGAAGTGTGTGTGTGTTTGTGTTTGTGTGGAGGAGAGGATTCCACGCAAAGGGATCAGGTAAGTTTATCAGTGGAAACATATGGGAACCATGATTCCCGGAATTATTGATGGTATTTTTCCCAACAATAATTCCACAATTACATAATCTTTTGCATCCTACAGACCAAGAAAGCCAACGTAATGTTTGTAGACAACCCTGTCGGAACCGGGTACAGTTACGTTGACAGCTACAGTGATTTGACTGTAGACAACGCCCAGATCGCCTCTGACCTCGTGGTGCTTGTCAAGGAAGCTTTCAAGGTTAATCCTGACATGGAAAAAATGCCTTTCTATGTATACGCCGAATCCTATGG